GTCATATTATTTGATATAACCAATAGTCTGTACGGGGTATTATATGCTGTTGTAGTAACACTTTACTATTACCGTTGCGAGTACGTTTGTAACGATTGGAACAAAAGCGCATGAAACTATTTTGACAAGCGAGTACAGGATTGTTAACGGAATGACGACTTGTGCGAAGGATTGAGCATGTCAACCCTGTCTCAAAGTACCGCCAGTCGGGGTGGCAGGAAATTATGCCGAACATGTTTTAAAAGATGTTTTAAATGTTTTATAGATGATATTACGCATTTCCCACCAAACTGGACAAATAGGCGTGTTTTCATTTATTAAAAAGTGTGATAAAAGTGCACGTTTACGTAAAATCGTTTGGTTGTCTTCGGTGCACTTTTATCACACTTTTTGCATTTTTGGAGCAGTCCAGTTTTAGTTGCAACCAACAATATAAAGGACAATCCCGAACTTATTGCAACTTTTAAACCACGGTAACAAATGACTTGAAATTTTCAGAGAAGATTCTTAGACGAATTCTTAGTAAGACAACAATAGACCAAGGTTCAAACTTATACCCACAATCCAAAAGCTATCTTTAATATTTGTACAGTTGCAAAAAAGTCCTACATTTGAATTCATTGAGGTTCTTTTCGAAATTTTTAGAACTCTATGAGCTCTTTTGAAATTCTTCTCAGAATTCCTCTGGAATTATTTTTAGAACTCTTCTTGACTTTTACTCAGAAAACCGTTGAACTAAAATTCCCTTGGAGTTTCAGAAGAATTTCCTCAGTATTATCCAGAAGTTACTCTCGGAATGAGCTAGAAATTATCGGTACTCCCTTGAAATTTTCCTCAAAATCCCTTTGGAATGTCACTCAAAATTTAATTTTCTCGGTATTCTTTTTGAAATTGTCTTGGAACTATCTGCAGCATGCACAAGAAATTATACACAGAATTTTATTTAAACTCTCCCCAGAAATATTTTGGTACTGCCCTTAAAAATTCAATGGTTCTTCTCGGAATATTTTTGAACTTGTTTTTTTTCTCAGAACACCTTGGAACTGAAATTCCCAGGCCAGTGACAAGGCCTATACCAACAGCAGCGTTTGACAGTAGGCAGCATGTCCAGGGCTCAAATCATTTATTTTGCTGTGCTGGGCCCGCTGTCACCGTATAACAATTCCCCTAACGTTTCAGGAGAATTTCCTCTGTATTCTCCAAAAATTCTTCCCAGAATGAGCTTGAAATTATCTTTGGAATTTCCTTGAAATTTTCCTCAACATCCCTTTGAAATTTCATTTACGATTTGATTCTCTCGGTATTCTTTTCAAAATTATCTTGGAACTATCTGCAGGATTCACTAGAAATTATTCGCAGAATTTTGATTAAATTATCCTCAGAAATATTTTTTTTTATTTGTCCTCAGAATTCAATACCCTTGAGATTCTTCTCGAAAGTCAAGTTTAAGGTGTCCGTCCATTCACCAAAACGTTGTAGTTAATCTACCAGAAATTTTCAATAAAGCTTCCCCCTCCATTCTCCAGAACTGTGCAATTTTTACATCAGGAATTTTCAATTCAGCTTGCCCCTCCATGCAGTAGATTGCTGCAAATCTCACACCAGAAATTGTCAATACAATCTTGCACCCAGGTAATTTTACACCAAAAAATTTCAATTGACCAGAACGATGCAAATTTTCCACCGTTAATGTTCAATAAACATTGCTTCTCCAATGTTCTGATTGGTGCAGATTTCCTTTTTCCATTTTCTACCAGACATTTTCAATATAGATTGCTTCTCCTATCATCAGAATGTTGCAGGTTTTCCACCAAATGAAGCTTGCCCTTATTTCCAGATTTTTCATCATAAATTTTTAGTAAAGCAGCCAAGTAACCAACATGCCCGTTAATCGCCCTTTTTGGTATATAAGGCCGCTGTACGACTGATATAAAGTTCGGAAACCCTATATTTACCTTATATCGCAAAAAGGTCGATTATCACGGTTAGCGGGCTTGGTGGTTACATGGGCAGCTTCCCTCCAATAATCAAAATGGTGCAAATTTTACACCAGAATTTGTTATTAAAATTTGTTTCTCTATTAAGCAGAAGCATCCAAATTTAAGACCAAAATTTATCTGAAAAGCTTGCCCATTCGTTTACCAGAACGGTCCACCAGAAATTTTCCACATAGCTTAATTTTAAATAAAGCTTGTGCCTTCATTTACCAGACCAGTGCGAGTTTTCCACCAGAAATTTTCGGTTCATTTCATTTATCAGAGCGATGCAAATTTTTCACCAGAAATTTTCAATAAAGCATGCTCCTCCATTCACCAGAACGGTGCACCAAAAATTGTCAGTGAAGTTTGTTTCACCATGCACCTTTGTGGTGCAATTTTCAGGCTTTGACTCTTCATGCACCAGAATGGTGCAAATTTTCCACCATAAATTTTCAACGAAGCTTGCATTCATCAGAAAGATGCAAATTATGCATCAGAAAAATGAATAAACCTTGCTGCTACATTCACCACAGTGTTGCTAACTTTCCACCAGAAATTTTGAGTTAAATTTGCACCTCCAAATTTTTAGCGTGATTCAATTTTTCCACCAGAGTTATTTATTTTGATCAGTCCCTCAATGCACCACCTTGATGATATTTTTACACCAGAAATATTAAATAAAAAGCTTTTTCTTCGATTAACCACCGTGAAGGTGAATTTTCTCTACCTTAAATTTACCCTCTTCTTTTAACTCTCCATGAACCACCTAGAAAAAAAACTACACCAGAATTTTTTTGTATACACCTCTGTGGTGCAATTTCAGGCACCATATCAAAGGAATTTATGCAATAAAAGATTTTCAGTGCCCTTATTTTATGAAAGGAAGTAATTTTACCTTCAAATCAAATTATCAAGAAATCAATTTATTTTATATCATGATTTTGTGAACTACCCTGTGCACGCCAGTGCTCGGTGCACTCGGAACATGTCCAGATGGTTCAATGTGAACCTGGGCACTTAATATAATCACAATTTAGCTTGTTTTTGAATTCTCATGTGATTTGAGGTGTCGTATGATGGGTTTTGGTGGGGCCTCCCTTAGCTCAGTCGGTAAAGGCGCAGCTACAAAGCAAACCATGCTGGAGGTGGCTGGGTTCGATTCCCGGTCCGGTCTAGGAATTTTTCGGGTTGGAAATTTTCTCGACTTCCCTGGGCAATAGAGTATGATTGTACTTGCCACACAATTATACTAATCCAGAAATGGTACAGGCATCGAAAGCTCTCAATTAATAACTGTGGAAGTGCATCTAGAGCACTAAGTTGAGAGCACGCAATAAGCTAACATGCGATATGCAATAAGCTTTAAATGCGAAGAAGAAGAAGAAGAATAAGAAGATGGTGGGTTTTGGTCCTTGTCAGAAACAGGCCACTTCCCCTGGGGTAGCTAGAACATGTTCGGATGCTGCCAATTTCGTCCTAGACGCTCCAAATGATAACCATTGATCTTCTTTTTGCGTTCTCATGTAATTTGAGATGTCCGAGTCCGAAATGAGCAGCGATTATTTATGTTTTCTTGTTTCTGACTAACAATTGAGAACAATTTTTGCCTAAATTCAAATTCAATGTACCGTAAAACGGGGTTAAATTGATAGTTTTTTTTAAGTATTTTCTAAATATTTTTTACAGCAATGAATGTTTTTCAAATTTTACATCTTTAAAACAAGTACTGAGGATCTTAGAGTCAATTCGTTAAAAATATGTTTAACGAAATAATTTGTAAAATGTATTTGCACTATTTTTTTTAGACTTGTTACCGAACATCAGTATTTTGATTTGGGGTTACTTTGATAATGCTTGATGAATGTAGGAAAACATGCAAGATGCTCAAACAATTTAGCTCAAGAAATATGAAACTTTGAATGAGTATATATTCAGAAAACATCATAAGTAATAAGAAGACAACATAGAATTTGGGATAGCTATATCGGAAATACATTTCATAAGAAATGATTTGATTGCTTTTTCAAACAGGCGAAAAACAAGAAAATTGTTTTTACTATATTCGGAAATCATGTACCACATACTACATAAAAACTGAATACGATATCAAGGGAAATACCCTATAGTAAGGAACCAATGTTTTCAGTTCGGAAATAGTTCAGAGAGCACATAAAATCATTATAATCTACTATCAAAGTTACCCGCATTATCAAAGATACCCCGTGTTACGGTATTGTACGTATCTGTAGGAACCTCAAACTAATTTCTATCAGTTGCTTAAAGAAAAACCATGTTTCGTCAAGTGAGTGCAGAGTTATTAAATTGAAATTTGAGCGAAAAATTGAGAATGTCAACCCATCCCTTCTTTGTAAGACGGGAAAAAACTTTAGGTGATTCGCTGTGACATCCTTATTCTCGGAACCACTTCGAAACTTTAAGTGCACAAATATCAGCTTCTACGACACGTGCAACATTCAAACTGTTACTCCACGTTTGCTGCACTGCAGCAAACACGAAGTAGCAATTTCAGATGAAATGGTGCACCGATTTCCGAGTTTTGTGTAATTTAAAATTCGAAGCGGAAGTGCAGTTATAGCCTACGGCGGTCATTTTTTGCTCTACAAGGAATCACCTTAATGCAGTCGACCGAATTTGCCCCTGTTTCCGGGTCAACGTGATAGCCACGCCTTTATTTCCTACCTAAAGGAAATTAAGCTAGGAAAACACCAGCAGCAATACCCTTCAGCTCTCAGCAACAGACATTTGCAATTTACAGCTCAAACCATCTATACTAGCACCTAATTCCGAGAATCGAATCATTTATGGCTTCATATCTTTCCGAGAATGACATTCCTATTTACGTCCCACCTCGTCGTCTCGATCTAACGCACCATCGTCACACAAATATTAATTACCCCCGGTACACAGATTCACTGCCCGTGTCGTGAATTCCAAGACGCTTTTATCCAGCATGAATCACTCCCACATATTTAGCAGCGCACGCACAAACAATCCCCTTACCTCCGTTCCGAGCCCACTGAAGAAGCTCTCCACCTGAGACCGCTCGAAGTCGGTAATCATGCCACTATCCAGACTGATCAGATCGTGCTTGCTGTACTCGAGCTCATTGTCATCTTCGTTGATATAATTCCCATTCAATGACTGCTGCTGCTGCTGTTGCTGCAGCTGCTGAAGTTGACTGTTCCGATGGTTATGGTGATGATGGTGGTGATGGTGATGGTGACGATGGCCGCTGCTACTGCTGGTACTGCTTTCGCCGCTGCTGTTCTGACTGGGAATCGACTGGGACTCACTCGCGTCCAGTGACCACTCGTGGATGGCTTCGCAGATTTCCGACGCGGAACCATCGGAACTGTCCGACTTGCTGGACGTCGACGGGGCACTGTTGTCGCTGACCGACTCCAACCGGTGCCGCTGAAGGTGTGTCATCTGGAAAATAGAAGATGGGGAAGGGTTGGATGAGAATTAATGTGACTGGTCGTGTGCTCGTTTATCTAGGATCCAACAAAGGACTAACATGTTTGGGAGGTAATAGTTTTCTCATTATCGATAGTAACTAGTAGACTAAACAAACACTAATGGATGGCCTCTGCTTTCCGTTGCGTCGAGCGGTAAACTACTGAATGGTGAGACCTTTTTCCACGTAGATAAACGAGTCAGACGTGTGGAGTGAGGGAGATAAGGATGATATGGCCGTAGTGACTCGAACTTGGCTTGGAGTGCTATTTTCTAAGCATTTGGGTCGATTTTGAAAACTGAATCCACTGCATAAAACACTTGTCTCCCAGCGTTGACGGTTGTTGGTGATGAATGCAAGTATCGGACAGTGACTATTTTGGGTAAAACGTTTTCGTTCGTAGCTGACTAATGGGAATAATGGTAATGTGCGAAATAAACCTTTCCTGAAAGTGCTTCCCCCCCTCGGTGATATATAGATAAGCGAGGTATAGTAAACAAAAGTTTGTTTTTGGATTGTAGAGGTTACGGTGTAACAGTATGCAGTTGTCGTAGGAACCTACAGGAATCCCCCCACTAGGGCGGTGGTTGGTGGTGTACGGGTCTGTCCTCCTTCCGTTTGATTTTTGTTAGGTTCCAAGTATATAATTGACATTAATCACAAACAAAAAATCAGATCAATTAGTTGGAGGACAGCCGTGAAACAGCGGTGGGAGGACTGCACCACTCACCGCGCTATTCGGGGGATTTCTGTGTATAGGATATGTACCTTTAGCGTTGATTAGATAAGATCCAGGGGTACTTTCGTTATGCTTCACATTATGAATCAAGTTGTTCATTCGTTTCAAATCATGTCAGCAATCGATCATATCGATGGAGTAGCGTTGATGGCAAGAGTGACCTAAGAGTGTACAATTATTTACCTAACATTATCGTAAAGTTTTCACAAGCATATATACCACATGGACTCAGTTTGACTAGATCGAATCATGACTGTGTGGAACATAGTGCCAAAGGTACCATGGTCTGAATTTCGCACTTGTGGCATCCAATTTGTTTTATATTGCCGCTCATCGCAAGTCTGACCCATTTGGAGTTTTGTCAAAACTGAGTTTTTCAATGGAAGTGTTAACCCATAGATTCATTTTGATGAATGCATGAACTCAACAACTTTGTTCTGGGAAAAGTTTAGAAAAACAGTCAAGCGGGTTGTCCCATTACATAAGAAGCAATGGTAAAAAAACAACCTTAAAACGCGTTTTTGTCGGCTTGCTGATTTGTGCTATGGGACGGACTTGCCATGAGCGGCAGTATAGTGACTGCAAATAACTGCTAATGTGCGACAGATGGATAATTGATACTGAAGTATTTCTTTTTTATTTCTTGATAACAGAAGCTTAGAACCATAGACCTTTCAGTACTTGCACCAAATTTTGTAACACGAGCACTCGCGCGTTGTTCAAAATACAACAGTATGTTATATTCACCTTGAGGGCACTTCTTGGGATCTAATATTCTCCAAAATATTTTTCAAGTATTGGTCTATTGAACATGGGTGGTAAATTCCATGAAACATGTTTATGAGCGAGTTACAAAGTCAATAGGTTATTGATTTTTTAAATGTTGGCGCTCGTACTGAAATATTGTAGGTACTGAATGTTTAAAAAGTTAAACCCGTCTTGGAATTTGTCTTCCTCGGTGTTTCAAAAATATGTCCGGGGTTTTAACACTCCGAATCCGATGCCTCCCAAAAACGTGTAACGGCAAGTTTGCAATGGCATAGCTTAGCCATTTATTGATTAATTTCAAAAATTGAGGTATCTCTAGAATTCCTAAGGTCTGTAGATTATTTTGATTGTAAAAACATTGTCGTCTAGATAACTGCATAGCTCTAGGATCAGTTTCAAAGATTGGCAAATTTACGGATGTTCCGGATCTTTTCGAGGGCAGCCCCATGGCCATCCGGATCCATGTTTATGTCACGAACCTGATCACACGACCAAATGAAAAAGTCGATGAAGAGAATCGGTCAAAGTCACTTTCACCCCTTTCCTTCTAAACCCCTCAATTATCTTCAAAAAATGCTGCAGGAATTTATAAAAAGTTCATGGAATTTCAGCAATATTCAGAAAACTTAACTTAAGTAAAAAGAAATTCATAGATGTGGAGAGAATTTGAGAACAACTGTGGAAACTTTTAAAAAGTTCCAAGTAGCTCAGAAAAGCTAGATCTAGATATCTTTGATGAATTTCAGAGATCTTAACCACCACCATCAGGCTACACCTTCGCTTCTGCACAGGTTTCTTGTGGATGGGTTGGGGGATGTTCATAAACTACGTATACAGTTTTTTGGGATTCTTGACCCCCCCCTCCCCCTGCGTAGACAATTATCCATACAAAAATTTTAAAATTTGTATGGGTCGTGGATAATTGTCAACCCCCCCCCCCCCTAAAACTGTCTGCGTAGTTTATGAACAGCCCCTTGTATAGTTTAAATTGCTTCCCATTCCTCTTCAACTGCCCACTCCGCTCTCTTTCTAATGAGAAAGAAACTTAATGTTTGCCATAAACCAGGGCAATGAGTTAGAGAAATGGAACATGTTAACACAAACATAAAAGTCTATCTTTAGGGTTGAATAATGACACCTTGGACTGCTTCGGAACGATCGGCACCAAGCTTGGAACAGCTTTCGGCTTTGCTTAGTCTTTTGGCCATATTAAGGCGTGCAGAGTTCAATAGCCTTTGGTAACACAGAGTGAGGATCTACGGTTCGTAAATTTTGCATTTTGATAGGAAGACTAATAGCACTAAACTATCTGTTTTAAGTTTAACTGGAAATTCTATATTAAAAAAAAATAATGAAAAAGTCCCGAAAGAGCTGGTGGCCTGATGATGGTGGCCTGATGGCGGTAACCTGATGGTGGTGGTCTGAGGACGATGACCAGATAGTGGTGGCCTGATGGCGTGTCGTTCCGACATGGGACGAATGATGGTCTTCTTAGTGCGGTGACGTGCACCTCGTTCTTCGCATACCACTACCCCTCCATATACTGCCGGCTGAATATCGGCTACACTCTACAGCAGTGCTGCGTGCTGTCAACAAAGTCAAATGACGTAAGATATTGATCCAGCACTGAATTTCACCTCCGACACTGATATTCATAGTAAGCATGATATCAGGCGGTACGGCTTTGATATTACTACCCATATGAATATCACTAATGAAACGTTGAAAATCTTACTTTTATCTCATTTGAACAACTTTTTCGAATAACCGTTGCATTGTTTTAATATTACTGATGAGTTTTTCAAATATCGGTACTCGATTAGCTGGTGTATATAAGAAACATTTGCGGTAGAACTTTGAATATCAGTGGTCCCTTTACGATGTCAATGTCATTTTCGCACTGACATTGAAGTGAATGATATTGATATTCTATCAGTGTGAACTGATACTGACATCAGGTGGTTATTGAAATTCAGCATTTTGTAGGCAAAGATATTGATATTTTGCAGCACTGCTCTACAGTGAGGACCACTTTTCCACCAAACATCTGCCCAGAGGCATCACTAAGCACCGACTGTGTTAATCTCTCGATTCTCTTCACCATCCACCCATAGTCACACTCACACCACTCAGCTCTCTCGTTAACAACATTTCACCATAACCTTCCATAAACTTCAATCAATTTACGGAACTTTTAAATCTTTCTCAATCTTAACCATTTTTAGAACAGGCTAATGTTTTTGGGGCTTAATTCATGCTGACGGATGCAAAATGAAGCACTTTAATGTACTAGTCATGTCTATAAAGACTGGAACGCGCAAAAATTGGTCGACAAAAAATCGTTTCTTTCAGTCAAAACTCATATCACAAAAATCTTTTTTTATTTTTCTTTTGGTAGTTCAATTCATATAAGGTAAATGTTGGCTTCGGCACCCATTGACTGTTTTCGGCAACCAAAATTTAAACGTTAATTTCACTATGTTTTCCCATCAACGCACTTCCCTGAATGTGTCCAAACGATTGTTTAGCCTTTCAGCTTCAATCTGATTATATTTGAACGATCGAGCAATCCAGTAATGCTACATTTTTCTTCAAATAAAGCATACGCACTACAAAATGAGGTTGATTTCGAGTTGCCGATAATAGAACAGCTGGTTAACACGCAGTTCTAATGGGAAGGTTGCCGAACAAAAAGAGACTGCCGACAATAGTCACACTCACCTGAGAAGTTTGGAGCGTTGTAAAAACGCTTTCAAAACGTTTTGAAAAATTCTGTCGGTTGGAATGGATAGAGAAGCAAGCAGCAGATGAATGTAAACAAACAGACACATCATATATGTGCGTGACGCTGAGAAAATGCTAGTAGAAGTGCAGACGCTGCTTAGATTGACGAGAATACGTAAATTCCCCTATTTAAAGGAAAAAATGTTCGTTTATTCTTTTGGTTTGCCAAATCCGAACTGCCGTGCCTTTCATTAAATTTTGCACAGTGGTCTCATCGACCTTATTCGCCGCCGAACGCCAGTTAGATTTAAACTACTGCTCGTTTTCTATGGATTTATTAGTTTTTTTAATTCCGTTTGACCAAGGCCCAATACCGTTCGATAGGGCGGAGTTCTGGGCTTTTGAGAAGGTTGTGGTCTTTGGGTACCACAACCACGTTGTTCGCATCGTACCACTCGATTGCCTTTTTCCCATAGTGGCAGCTCACCAAGTCCGGCCAGAACAGCACAGGTCTATTATGTTGCGTTAGGAATGGTAGCAGCCGCTTTTCCAGGCACTCTCCTGGACGTAGAAATCAGGATGTCTTCAGAGTGAGTAGCATGAACGCCCCTAACCGTCACTGTATACTCTTAATGATGAATTATTTTGTGATCAATTAACTTTCATTGCTCGAATAAAGGTCCGGCAAAAGGCAATTTACCGGTCTACCAACATTTTCAACAATTACCAACCATTTAATCCCCGGAGGTGATTAAAAAATCCATCGAATGCGTGCCACCGTGAATGGATCGCAAATGTTTGATGAGGCAATAAGATATAATTATTTTATTTTTAAATTAAATCATCCGAAACAATCGGATAAGTGATGGACAACGGAATTCCTGCTGTGGGGCAGCAGTCAAGTGAGCAAATAGCTCCCAGTTTATGGTTATTGC